TTCAATGAACTTCTGGAACCAACTCTAAGGTACCCAAAACTTCAGTCTGTCCATCTTGGCTTAATCCATACATTCGATATGGGGATTTTGATTCCCAAATCAACGTTTCTGTCCACACCCTACTCCTAAGCTTCAGGCCAGAGTTTCCAGTATGGAAACTCCTAGAGGCACCTCAATCCCAATGTGCCCCAGACAAGAATTGTCGTCACCTTTACCCTTGCACTTGCTTTTCCGCCCGGGTCGCTTGGCTTCCATTATGGGCCTCCTACATCCCCAGAAGCAAATCCCGCCTTTACAGGCATGTCCCTTCTCTACCCCTAAAATTAACCTGTGTCATTCTACCTATCCCATGTCCCTCCTTTTCCATGCCCATCACCCTATCTCGATACTTTGGGCCTATAATGATGGCCTTGGCCTTGGAACTGGTAGCCCCAATTCCAGGCCTTCCCCATTCTCATATATCCTCTGTACTATCACGTGAATTATCCTTCCAAAACAGTCTGATCCCATTATGCCTCTGCATGCTCTCTCCTGCTTATGGAATAATGCCCAAACTTCATACTTTTACTGAAAACATCCCAGCCTTATCTCCCATTCCATCCCTATGGCCTCACACACCCCAGGAGCCAGCTACGCTGGACCAAGTCTTGTCGTTTTTCCCATCTTTGGGTCTTTGGTCTGGAATGTTATTCCTAAGTCCGCAATGTCTGCCGATGGCAACAAACCACTATTCTCCATTTAGTAAGCCACATGTTACTATAGGCTGGGTACAAATCAACCCATCTGTAACTATATCATTCCACTGCAGCTTCACAACCACCACATTTACCGATAGGAAATGGGGGCTTAGAGACAGACTTGCTGTGGTGCTTTAAAATATGATGTATGTCCACAAATTCTTTGATACCCCTCCCTTCATAAGATGGTGCTTAATTATTCTCCCTTCAAATATGGTACTTAGTGTCCTGCTGGTGGAAATGGAGGTGTTTGACTTCCAAGACTGGGTCATAAAAGGCACTATGGCTTCCTTCTTGTGCTTGAGTCTTTTCACTCTGAAGGGAGCTAGTTACTGCATCATGAGGATAATCAAGCAGCCCCCACGGAAAGATGCATATGGGGGAAATCTGAGGCCTCTAGCCAACACCCAGCACCATGTCTGTGTGCAAGCTCAAGCTGAAAGCACAAGCTCTAGCCCCAGTCGAGCCTTCAGATGCCTGCAGTTCCTGAGACACCATGACTGCAAGCTCATGGGAGACTGAACCAGAACCACCCAGCTAAGCTGCTTCCAAATTCCTGACCCACAGAAACTGTAAGATAATAAATATTTATTCCTTTAAGCCACTAAGTTTTGGGGCAATTTATTACACAGTCATGGATAAATAAAACACTCACCCAAAGTCATATAATCAGAAAGTAGTAGAGTGGAGATTTAAATACTGGTGTGTCTGTCCTGAAAGTTCATGCTCTTAACCCCAACTCAATACTGCCCAAAGTCCTACTGTAGTTTATCTTTTGCTTCCTTTAAAAAGCCTTGACAGAGACTCCCCCTCAAGACGCATTTTCCTCCAATCTGTATCTTTAAGCTATACTCACAATGTCCATCATCATGCTCCTCCCCCAATAATCACTATATTTGCCCAAGACCCATCTCACTACTTTAATGTCAATTTCTTGGCTCTATGCTCTCAGCTTTAGTAGCTACACCCTAAAGATGATGCTCCAAAAATTAAATGAGTGTAAAAGCACTTACCAGAATCATGGCTCAATTATACTATTTATTGTTTCCTAGATGCAGCATTTTCTGCCTTATGGATGGATGACAGCTTAATCCTGGCTGTACATTAGAATCACCTAGGAAGCTTAAAACACACACACACACACACACACACAAAACCAATGCCCAGGCTATACCTGAAGATTCGGGTGTAATGGGTCCTGGGTAAAGCCAGGTACCAATATTTTTCCAAAGTTCCTCAGATGATTCTAAAGTGCAACCAGGATAGAAAACCACTGGATTAAATCAGCGTTCTCAACCAAGGAGGATTTTGCCTCACCCATCTTTGGTGACATTTGCCAGTGTCTGGAGATATTCTTGATTGTCACAACTGTAGAGGGGGCATGATACTGACATCCAGTGGGTGGGGATTAGAGATGCTGCTAAACATCCTACAATACACAGGTCAGCTCCCTACAACAAAAAATGATCTGGTCCTGAATGTGTAAATAGTGCTGAGGTTGAAAAAACCTGGGTAAGATATCATTTCCTAGCTCTCACCCTCATTCCCCTTAAGAACTTTGGTTCCTACTTGCTTCTCTATTTCTATTCAATACTACCCTTGAGAAGAATATAGCACCTGAGTTCTTGCCTCTCAGAATGGAATGTAGGCACATACCAGCTTGGCCACTGCCCCAGCTGGGCTGGCTCCAGGCCTGCAGGGAGGACACGTGGATGGTCTCATGCTTCCCCATTTCTGCTCAGTGCTTTGTTAACTCTGTATTCCAACACTCACTGCAGAGACTAGTTGTAAACACATCTCTCACTCCAAGGGCCAGAGCCATACTCCATTCATCTCTGTTTTTTCCCCAGTACCAAGCTCTGTGTGGTTGAACTGAGTGGTTGCATCAAGTGAATTGGATTACTATCAGTTTAATTTTTATCATGCAACTGGGGATCTCTTTGAAAGGCAGTGGAAGTAGAGAATGCAAATGCCAGTTAAACCAATAGCCCTTGGGTTTCCGCTGATATGGAATGCAAGTGAAATGATTGCTACTGCTACTTTACAGTGTATGTGTATGAGCTGCTGGGAAATGTCAGATGCCGTTTTAAATTAAGCTATTTGCACAATAAATGACCAGGGATTTGAGAGGATTCTCATTTAGAGAAGTTCTCTTATTTTTAAGATTCTTTGTCATTGGTTATTACAAATGGGAAAATGTTTCATTTTTCAACACATAGCAGCAACTTGGAGAATGATACTGAAAAAAATCTTGTCTTAGAAAAATATATGCAAATCAATAAATTATGGGCCTTTCATTTCATAGCAGACAAAATTAGGCACAGGTTTAGAAGCTAAATAAGGTTTTCCAATATTGCTCTCCTTTCAAAGTGTAGTCTCAGTTTTTTTTTAAAAAAAACAACCAAAAAACTGGTGATATCCAGGAGCTTTTAATTCCCAAAATTGAGAAAGTCAGCCAAGAGTCTATTCAACTTGGCATTCTCAGAGAGGGCAGAGTTAAGCAAAAGATGTGACATTTGAGGCCTAAGTGTCTAACTGATAGTCTTTCACTCTGTTTAATATGTGACTTTGTAAGTCTCACTTGATTTCCTTGGGCCTCAATTTCCTGCCATTGTTATTACAAAGGGCTGGCATGGAAACATTTTCAAAGTTACAAGCAAAATATATTATTTTTGCTAAATTGAGCTCTCTGTTCTTCCACCTATGGCTTAAAATAGTAGAATACTACTTGACTATCATCCTCTAAGTGAGATCTTTCCTGACTACTCTATATAAAATTAAGCCCCCTCAATATTCCATATATTCCTCCCTCTCTGCCTCCTGCATGCTAGCTAGGACTATAGGCATGCACAACCACACCCAGCTAATTTTTAAATTTTTTATAGAGATTGGGTCTCACTATATTATCCAAGCTGGTCTCAAACTCCTGGCCTCAAGTGATCTTCCCACCTTAGCTTCCCAAAGTGCTGAGATTACAGGCCTGAGCCACCATGCCCAGCCTCTGCTTTATTTTTCATAGCACTTACTTATTTACTTATTATCTGTTATCTCCCACTATAATCTACATTCCATGAAGGCAGGGATTTGGAGCTACTTTGTTTACCACTCTATCTCAAGTACCTTGAATGACGTTTGGCACATAGTGGTATCCAATAAATATTTCTTGTACGAATGACTGTACTATGCAAATCTAGAAATGAAATAGTCTATAAAGCCATCAAAAGGCATGAATTAACATGGCTAGATCTCAAAAGTATGTATTTGGGAGGTGGGTGCAGTGCCTCACCCAAACGAGGTCTCTCTCTTGCTCAGGCTGGTCTCAAACTCCTGTGCTCAAGCAATCCTCCCGCCTCAGCCTCCTAGAGTGCTAGGATTACAGGCGTGAGCCACCATGCCTGGCCCAAATAACTATTAAATTTTAAGAGCTCTGGAACGATGCACTGTAGACTGAACTGATTACCTCTGTGTGGGGAGGAGACCCAGATTAGAATGGTCAAAGAGAGATTTAACTTTCTGTCATGTTCTAATGTTACAAATGGAGAATTGATGCCTATAACTAAAATTCAATATTTAGAAAATGTAGTCATAGTTCCTGAAACGTAATGACCTTCAGAGAGAAAGAGAAAGCAAGAGAGAATGGAGAGAAACATTACTTATGCTAAGAATTTTTTTTTAAGTTTTCTATTTTATTTCTGAAGTGTTTCTTTTTTTTTTGAGACAGAGTCTTGCTTTGTTGCCCAGGCTAGAGTGAGTGCCGTGGCGTCAGCCTAGCTCACAGCAACCTCAAACTCCTGGGCTCAAGCAATCCTACTGCCTCAGCCTCCCTAGTAGCTGGGACTACAGGCATGCGCCACCATGCCGCTAATTTTTCTATATATATATAGTTGGCCAATTAATTTCTTTCTATTTATGGTAGAGACGGGGTCTCGCTCTTGCTCAGGCTGGTTTCGAACTCCTGACCTCGAGCAATCCGCCCACCTCGGCCTCCCAGAGTGCTAGGATTACAGGCGTGAGCCACCGCGCCCAGCCTGAAGTGTTTCTTGAGTGAAATTACTGGCATGGATAGGATGAGCTTAGCCTAGGCTAAAAATAAGCAGAGACAAGAGCCATAGATATAACTGACCCAGGGTCCTGGATGGATCACATGAGCTAGTTCTCTTAGATTGGAAAAAACTATCATTAACTCAATTTAAAATTAGGAATAAATTACTCAAAGCCTTGTGTTGTACTTACTGGTCTTTAGCCACTCTCTTCACAAACGGAATGGAGAAGAATTCTGTGAACGGCTCTCCTATCCTCTTAGGGTTTGGCTGGTCACGATGCCATATGTTTGATTGACAAGAAAACAATAAGTAAGAATTCAAGTCAATTGTTGCTGTGCTGCTTGCAAATTAACACTATTGAATCCTTAGGGTCATTGAATATTCAAAGACATGAACAACTCACTTGTATAACCACTCCGTCAGAAAATCACAGGCAATGAATTTGGTTCTTTTCCTCTAAAGAGAGAAGAGATAATTAAATTACACTTGACCCTTAAACATCATGGGTTTGAACTGCTTGGGTCCACTTATACGTGGATTTTTTTCAATAAAAGTCACACCAAATGTGCCTGCCTCTCCTCCCTCCTCTGCCTCCCTTCTTCTTCTGCCTCTGCCACCCCTGAGACAGCAAGACCAAGCCCTCCTCTTCCTCTTCCTCCTCCTCAGCCTACTCAAGGTGAGAGATGAGGATGAAGACCTTTATGAGGATCCACTTCCACTTAGTGAATACTAAATATATTTCTCTTCCTTATGATTTTCATAATAATATTTTCTTTTAAAAAATACAGTGAGCTGGCCAGGTGTGGTGGCTCACGCCTGTAATCCTCGCACTCTGGGAGGCCGAGGCGGGCAGATTGCTCGAGGTCAGGAGTTGAACCAGCCTGAGCAAGAGCAAGACCTCGTCTCTACTATAATAGAAAGAAATTAATTGGCCAACTAATATATATAGAAAAAAATTAGCCGGGCATGGTGGCACATGCCTGTAGTCCCAGCTGCTCGGGAGGCTGAGGCAGGAGGATCGCTTGAGCCCAGGAGTTTGAGGTTGCTGTGAGGTAGGCTGACACCATGGCACTCACTCTAGCCTGGGCAAGAGTGAGACTCTGTCTCAAAAAAAAAAAAAAAAATACAGTGAGCTATAATGATGCCACTGAACTCTACCTAGAGCGACACTGCAAGACTCTGTCTCAAAAAAAAAAAAAAAGAAAAAAAAAGTTATATGTATTATAGATTATTTTTTGAGACAGGCTCTCACTCTGTTACCCAGGCTAGAGTGCAGTGGCATGATTATAGCTCACAGCAACTTCAAACTCCTGAGCTCAAGTGATCCTCCTGCCTCAGCCTCCTGAGTAGCTGGGACCACAGGTGTGCCATCATGCCCTGGTAATTTTTATGTTTTTTGTATCGATAGGGTCTTGCTATATTGCCCAGGCTGGTCTTGAACTGCTGGCCTCGAGTAATCCTCCTGCCTCGGCATCCCAAAGTGCTGGGATTACACGGTGAGCCACAGCACCTGGCCTATAATATGCAGATTTTTGACTGTGTTGGAGTTTGGCACAGGATCAACTATATATTCCTATTTCACCCATATGTCTGAGTAGGACAAGGGAAGAGAAGTTAATTGATTGCATGCATAAATATGCATGAGTCCTTTATAAGCTTTATAAGCACATCAACAAGCAGTAACTCAGGCAATACAAGGAATTCTGAAGACATTTCTTCCAGTCCTCTTTTGATAAGCACGTTTTCTGAGAGCAGGGACTAATAAAAGGCAGTGCTCATAGTGGGCTTATTACACGCTTTTGGCGTTGTCTTAGAATGATTTTGTAATTTAAATCTAGACCATGATTCTCTTTTCTGAGTAACTGTATTGCTTTCCCCAAGTACATCCAAATCCTCAAAACAGCAGTGCTTCAGATCTGGGTGCTACCTTCAAATTTGGACGCCCAGCACACAGGTGCCACTGGCAGTGTGGCTAGCTGTGCACCCAATATCCACTCTCCACTTCATCCTTATGAACAGAAGCCTGAATGCTTCCAGATGGCAATCAGCTCAGCCAAAGAACTACATTTCCCGGGCTCCTATGTAGCAAGGTACTGCTATGTGCCACAGTTCTGCCATAGGAGACAGAAATAGACACATCCTAGGGATTTCTGAGAAAGTTCTACTTTCCTGATTTCGGCTGTCCCTTCTTCCTTGAAGTTTTTTTTCCACTTCTTCCAGGCTGGGACCCAGAAGCAAGGCTGAAAGTGCAGCAGGAACACAAGGAGCCTGGGCCTTCACTGACTTCCTTAAGCTACTGCACCAGTGTGGGCCTGCCCTACTCTGGACATCTTAACACAGAAAGAAAAAGAAATTTCATCTGGTTCATTACCAGCATTCTTGAATTTTCATTACATGCAATTGAATGTAGCCCCTAGGTGATAGATAGCTGGTAAGCCACAAGGGACAACAAAACACCCCAGAGGTACGGGGGAGAAGATATGCAGAGAAGGGCAATGAGGCAGGGTGCTGGGTATCCTGTCTTCTGTTTCCATTTAAATCTCTTTTTGAAACCCAAAGAGAACCGGACAGCTCCTTGGAGAGAACTGTTATGGAATCTGGGAGAAAGAGAGTCCCTGCCTCTCATTCTAAAGATAGCAGTGGCTAAGAACCAGAGCAGTCTAGAGATGTTGGTTGCCATGTAGAGGGATCCCTCCCAAGAAGGAAGGCAATACAGAGTACTCAGGGAACGCTCTTCACCCCTCCAGAACCACCCTTCTCCACCCACAGTGTGCCTCAGGGGCTGATTTTAGGGTGCATCAATCAGGCTCCTTTACCCTCTAGTTGGGTCCAGCTGATGGGAGGTACCAGCAGGAGATCAGTGAGATGGAGGAGAAAAAGGTGGCGTGTCAGGGGTTGAATTGTGTCACTCCAAAATTCGTATGTTGAAGTCCTAACCCCCAGTACCTCAGAATGTGGTCTTATTTGGAAGTAAGATTATTGCAGATGTATTAATAACTAGTTGAGCCCAGCCCCTCCTGAAGGACAAAGCAGCTCCAATGAGAGTGAACACGTGTAGGGTTCCATGAACAGGAGGAAGGGAGGTGCTGCTGGGTAGACCACTAGTGGCAGATTCTTGATGGCACTGCACTAGACCCTAGACCCAGGTGTGACTGGTGCCAAAAGTCCCTGAGCCTTTCAGGGTCATGAGCCAATAAAGTCAGTTTGCACTGGGTTGTTTATTATTTTTCTTTCTAATATAATTCTGGACAATGTCTCTTTACTTTTTTCCCACCATATTTTATTATACATTTTTTCCATCGTTTTTTCCCCTCATCACTTTCAAATGTCTAACTCAGCTTTATAATCCCAGATAAGGTTGAAAAAATTGTTGGGAAATTGATGTTCAACAAAAACGAAAGTGCTCCTTAAGATTCTTTACCGAAAGCTTTATTACAGCTTTTGGTAAATAAAATGTAGCAGTGCCTGAGTTGCTAGAGAATATTTGCAGCCTTTTACTTCGTTGCTGATAGCCTTTTATGAAAAAAATTGAAACACTGCTGTCCAGGGCAATAAAACGGAAAGTACTAGACCACGTAATGGGGCCTTCACATCTGCCTTGCAAGGGTAGGACTCCCTTCAGGAAGCCATGTTTGACCGAAATAAGAAAATACTTGTACAACAATGCAAATATGTAACTAGCATGAATTGCCGTAGAATAATTTAAACAATCTGGCGATTGTAAGATGCCACCGTCTCTCTCTCATCCTACAAAAGATGCATTGTTTCCGTGGCATTTGTCACATCATTTAGCGGTAAAGATTTCTTCTATGAAAGAGAACGCAGCTTGACTTACTCTAATAAATAGACTTTAAAAATAGCCAAGTGGTCTGATGTATGAAGGTCATGCAGACAGATTTAATCACTTTTGATGCAAAGGAATAAAATGGAAGAGATTGTGTTTTCCTTCTGTTCTGGGCAAGCGTGGACGTGCTGTGCATACTCAGACACGCAGAACAGTGGGGAGATTGTTCAGCTGTTGTTTAGTTTAAAAATTATCTGCTGGGCAACTGAAAGAGAGAAGGAAAAGCAAATGAAACACTGTGGTGAGTGAAGAGATAAGACAGGAAGGAAGGAAGAGAGAGAAAAATTAAAGAGCAAGATTAAGACAGTGTAGGCACCCAAGGTTTATGTAATGTGGACAGATACACTGAGTTCGTGATTGTTAAAGGGTGAAAATGTGCAAGTTTGGGAGAGCAGACAAAATTGTTAAGGTAGCCGCAAACAAAGTTTGAAAAATTTTTCTTTTAAATCTAGAATTAAAAGGGAAAAGATTATGTGTCAAGGGATAAGACATCATCATGTCATCATGAGTCTGCAGCTTACTCTGAAAGGTATCCAAAAACCAAGATGAATAGAGGGACAGACTGATGGATTGGTGGATAGATATATAATAAAACAAATAAAGCAAAATGGCAATTGTAGAGTCTAGGTGGTGGATATGTGGGTATTTGCTGCAAAATTTTCTCAGTTCTTCTATCAGCTTGAAAAATTTTTTTATAATAAAATGGGAGGGGTCACCAGGCACAATGGCTCTTGTCTGTTATCCTAGCACTTTGGGAGGCTGAGGCAGGAGGAATGCTTGAGATCAGGAGTTTAAGATCAGTTTGGGCAATATAGTGCGACCCTGTCTCTATAAAGAATTAGAAAATTAGTTGGGCATGGTGGCACATGCTTGTAGACCCAGCTACTCAGGAGGCTGAGGCAGGAGGATCATTTGAGCCCAGGAGTTGGAGGCTGCAGTGAGCTATGATGATGCCACTGCACTCCAGCCTGGGCAACAGAGGGAGAGACCCTGTCTCTAAAAAAAAGTAAAATAAACCAAATTTTAAAAATTAAAATAAAAAAATAAAATGGGGGAATGGCATACAGAAGAAGAGAAATTGTCATAAAAAATCCAGACCACACAGAGAAAAGGCAGAAATTAATAGGGGTTCAAACCAGACAGTATTTTGTACCAATTGTTATGTTGGGTAAATGTATAGGAGACACACAGGAGGACAAATGGCTGAGAAGAGGAACAATTAGCATTTGAAAGTAACAGAGTCCGTATTGGGTGACTAATGGCATTCTACCCCAGAAAGCTCAAAAGCACATGCTGTGAATTCAGTGGTCGGAGTGTGGCTGGCTATGGCACTGTGTTGGTTGAGACTCTTTGGGCTCCCAAGGGATAGAAATATGCTCAGTTTATTCAACATCTTAGTCCATCTGGGCTGCTATAACAAAAATATAAATTGAGTGGCTTATCAACAAAAAACATTTCTTTCTCATAGTTCTGGAGGCTGGGAAGTCCAAGATAAAAGTGCTAGTAGATTTGGTGTCTGGTTCCTTATAGACAGCACCTTCTTGCAGTGTTCTCACATGGAGGAAGAGACAAGGTAGCTCTCTGGAACCTCTTTTATAAGGGCACTGAGCCT